GTTACTGATTTCTAATGTGACTTGATTATGGTTTCTTCTATGGCCCCTAGTAGGGTCTAAGTTGGTGACTATTCTGTAGTTGCTTGAGGAGAAACCAGTATATTCTGTCGTTGGGCAGAATGTTGGCTGGTGGTACTACTCCCTTCTTCGGATTCTTGCTGATTGTCTTTCCGGTTCCCCGTCAGGTGCTGAGGGGGTGCTGGGATGCCCATCTTTGCTGTGAATGTGTCTACCTCTCCTCTTAGCCTCACAGTTGGAGGGCACGGTTGTCTGGTGCACACACACTTAGGGCAGTTATATCCTCCTGGTGGAGAGACCTTTCCATCATGCGATTTCCCTAGCAGTTTCCTTGGCTCCATGTGTGCGTGTACGGACACACCTGCTTTGCTTCTTCAAGTTAATGTTTGCAGGCTGTATCCTTTTCTGTCCTTTACTTTCAACCCGTGTAGTTGAATTTAAAGTGAGCTTCTTGTAAGCGGCATATAACTGGGTGCGTTGTTTTTTAATCCACCCCGGCCTCTTGTCTTTTGGTCGGCACATTCAGACCATTCACACTAGGCGATCATCGGTAGGTTACATCTGCCAGTTTGTCGTTTGTTTTCTTTTTGTTTCCTCCGTTTCTCTTTTTCCATCTTTCCCGTGGGTTACCTAAACACATTTTGGGATTCTGTCCTGATTGTGTATGGTCTTTTGAGTGTATTGCTGTGTATAGGTTTGTTTGTTTCTTTTTTTTTTTTAAAGATTTTATTTATTTGACGGAGAGACAGCAAGAGAGGGACACAAGCAGGGGGAGTGGGAGAGGGAGAAGCAGGCTTCCCGCGGAGCAGGGAGCCCGATGCGGGGCTCGATCCCAGGACCCTGGGATCATGACCTGAGCCGAAGGCAGACGCCCAACGACTGAGCCACCCAGGCGCCCCTGTGTATAGGTTTCTTAATGGTTCCTCTGGATTTTACCGGTTGTCCCTTTTGCCGGAAACCTATCTTTACTTACGTCCCTTTGTACTCACGGGGTAGCAGACAGGGTTCGGATCTTTATTTCAGTCTTCACCTGTGACTTCAAGAACTCCTAAGGAGGGCGCCTGGGTGGCTCAGGTCATGGTCCTGGAGTCCCGGGATCGAGTCCCGCATCGGGCTCCCTGCTCGGCGGGGGGTCTGCTTCTCCCTCTGACCCTCTTCCCTCTTGTGCTCTGTCTCTCATTCTCTCTCTCTCAAATAAATAAATAAAATCTTTAAAAAAAAAACTCCTAAGGAGGTTAATCTGTCGTATGTACCCACGTTTCTGCTTTTTCTGTTTTTCTTCTCTTGCTCCTAAGATTCCTTCCTGTATCATTTCCTACCTGTTTGAGGAGCTTTCTCCCTTATCCTGTAAGGGTGTGTCTGCTGGCAATGGATTCTGTTAATTGTCCTTCACTGAAGAGTGCTACTGCTCCTGTCGTACTGGGGTGGCTCTCAAGCATCGATGCATTTCATCCATACATGCTTTACAATTCCTTTCTTATTTATTTATTTTTTTAAGATTTTCTTTATTTAGGGGAGGGGGGTGGGGGGATGGGTTAGCCGGTGATGGGTATTAAAGAGAGCACGTACTGAATGCAGCACTGGGTGTTATACGCAAACAATGAATCATGGAACACTACATCGAAAACTAATGATGTAATGTATGGTGATTAACATAATAAAAAAATTATTAAAAAAAAAGATTTTATTTATTTGAGGGGCGCCTGGGTGGTCTGCCTTCGGCTCAGGTCGTGATCCCAGGGTCCTGGGATCGAGCCCCACATCGGGCTCCCTGCTCTGCGGGAAGCCTGCTTCTCCCTCTCCCACTCCTCCTGCTTGTGTTCCCTCTCTCGCTGTGTCTCTCTCTGTCAAATAAATAAAGAAAATCTTTTAAAAAAAATTTTATTTGAGAGAGAGCATGTACAAGTGGGGGGGAGTTGCTGGGGGAGAGGGAGAAGCAGGCTCCCCTCTGAGCAGGAAGCCCCACGTGGGCTCCATCCAAGGACCCTGGGATCATGACCCGAGCTGAAGGCAGACACTTAACTGACTGAGCCACCCAGGCGCTCCACAATTCATTTCTTTAAAGTGATTCTTCTTTAAACAGTTATGATGATATCACAATGTAAAGATTAGTCATAATTTCTTTTTTTTTTATATTTTAGTTTGTGTATTCATTTTAAGTCCTCTCTATGCCTTAGTCATAATTTCTTAATGACGTACTCAGTCACTGGTTTGTCTTCCAGTTACCTCACTTGTTTTTCTTAACCGTTTGTTCGGTCGGGATGAACGGAGCATGCACAGAGTTCGGTTAGGTCAATCCGTATCATTTAAGCCCCTTTTATCTTCTGGTCTCCCATCCTTTCCTCCTTCCCCCTTTCCGTACCAGGTTACTTATTGAGGAAGCCTGGTCATGTGTCCCATGGAATCTCCGCGGCCTGGGTTTTTTTGCCTTGCACACCTCAGGGCGCCACGTCCTCTGCGCCTCTGCCCCTGGGTTTCCTGCGAGCTGGTGGGACTATCTGCGCCTGTGCGGCCCCGGTCTGTGGCCACGGCCACTTGTGCTGTTGAGCCCTCAGAACGTGGCCAGGTGAACCGCAAGTGTAACACACACACCGGCGTCAACGGCTTTGTGCTGGGAAAGAATGCAAAGTAGCTCATGCATAGTTCGGTCCTAGTCATCACCCGTGGAAATAGTATCTGTGTACATCAGGTTACGTAAAACCCAGCACTGATTCCATCCGTTTTTACTTCATCAGCATGGTGGTTGGAAAATGCAGAATCACACAGGTGGCACGGGTCTGGGACTCCCATTGGCTTGCCATTGGATGCTGTTGATGGAGCTATGGGATTGATCCCGGGGGGGGGGGTCACTTGACCCTGGAGGAGTTTTGCATTCTGAGAGAGGGAGACTGATCAGACTTCACCTTTAGGTTTCGTTTTGGGCCTTGTTTAATCAGTGTTGCCTGCTGAAAGGTTAGAAATGATTCTCTCAAACACATCATGTACTGAAACTGTGGTTTATATGTTATCTTTGTCTTAGTAGGACTTGAACTGGCAAGGGGAGAAGCTCAGTGAATGCGTGAGGCCCTGATAGAACTAGATAGAACCTGAGGTGTTCCTGTGCTCTGAGAAACGTGTTAGGTGACCGCGTCCCCGCTGAGGCGCCTTGGCAGGTTGGCCAGCTGGAATGTTCTAATGGCTTCTGCCTCACAGGGGTGGTTCTCTCAATGACTGTCGCATCATCTTCGTGGACGAGGTGTTCAAGATTGAGCGCCCGGGTGAGGGGAGCCCCATCGTCGAAAACCCGATGAGAAGTGAGTTCTGATTCTGCCCCTCTGACTCCCACGTCGGTTGTGGGGTGGGGGCTCCCGTCCCCGCTCTGCTTGGCCGGCCGCGCCGGCGCTGAGCCCCACCTCCCGTGTCCAGGGAAGAGCGGGCCCTCATGCAAGCATTGCAAGGACGATGAGAGCAAGATGTGCCGGGTGTGCGCCTGTCACCTGTGCGGGGGCAAGCAGGACCCCGACAAGCAGCTCATGTGTGACGAGTGTGACATGGCCTTCCACATCTACTGCCTGTGCCCGCCCCTCAGCAGCGTCCCCAAGGAGGACGAGTGGTGAGTGGACGGGCTCCTCCTCGCCGCCCATTGAGTTTCCCCCCCCGGGGGGGGGGTTCCCGTATCCCGGCTGGATTTACGCTCACTGTTGGAGGGTGGGGGGGCGCCGTGAAATTCCCGTGGGAGAGGGGCGAACGTCTGGCGTCCGGTAGAACGTTCTCGCTCAGCGTTGCCCACCAGGGCACACGTGGCTGCCGCGCATGTCAGACGTGGCCCGTGCAGCTGACGGGCTGGACTTCCTGCTCACCATTAGCGAATTGAAACTGGAATGCTCCCCCTTCCCCGGACCGCGCCGGACGCCAGGGAGCCCGGGGAGAGGGCAGGCGTGGGCAGGAGGTGACGTCCCTGCTGTCCCAGGTATTGCCCCGAGTGTCGCAATGACGCCAGCGAGGTGGTGCTGGCGGGGGAGAAGCTGAAGGAGAGTAAGAAGAAGGCGAAGATGGCGTCGGCCACGTCCTCCTCACAGCGCGACTGGGGCAAGGTGAGGCGGCCCCGCACCCTGCGCCCCTGCCGCCCTGCCTGCCCCGCACGCGCTCACCCTGCTCTCCCCTCTGTTTCTGGATGGACAGGGCATGGCGTGCGTGGGGCGTACCAAGGAGTGCACCATCGTCCCGTCCAACCACTACGGACCCATCCCGGGGATCCCTGTGGGCACCATGTGGAGGTTCAGAGTCCAGGTACCCCCAGACTCCCTGGGCTCTGGGGCTGGGCCGTTGGGGGCTGGCCTCCCAGAGGCCCCTGAGCCTGGGCGAGGACCACCCTGGGGGCAGGTGGCAAGGCTGGACTTCAGGCCGGCTCCTTCCGAGGTGTGGCTCAGACTTGGGGTGTCTGGGGGAGAGGCTCCTGTAACAGATGTGTTGCCTTCGGCAGAAAAGTCAGGCCGCTGGCTTTGAAAGTGGGAGCAAGGAGGGTGGGGTTGAGCTGCTCTGTGGCAGCCGGTCCCAAAGGTGCCGTTTATTTCCTGGTGGTTTCCGTAGGTCAGCGAGTCAGGGGTCCATCGACCTCACGTGGCAGGCATCCACGGCCGGAGCAACGATGGGGCTTACTCCCTGGTCCTGGCTGGGGGATATGAGGATGATGTGGTGAGTGTGGGGGGGGCGGTTCTAGATTTTTAAAAAATTTGTGTATAAAATAATTTTATATGCATAAAATTTGCACTCTCAACTAACTCTTAAGTGCATAACTCAGTTGAGCGCACTCACACTGTTGTACGACCAGCCCCACCCTCCGTCTCCAGAACGTTCCATCTCCCCACACGGAGACTCTGTCCCCACGAAGCACGGACTCCCCACCCCCGGCCCCAGCCCCGGCTCCCACCCTCTCCTCTCTGTCTGTGTGGACGGGACTCCTTTGGGGACCTCCTGGGAGTGGGGTCCTCCTGCGGGATGTGTCCTTCTGGGTCTGGCTCCTCTCACTGAGCACAGTGTCCTCGGGGTCCCTCCACGTCGTGGCGGGTGTCAGGATGTCCTGTTCTAAGGCTGGATCGTATTCCAGTGCGGGGATGGACCGCACTGTGTGTATTGTTCATCCATCAATGGACAGTGGGGTTGTTTCTACGTTTAGCTGTTGTGAATAATGCTAGTGTGAACATGGGTGTGCAAACGTCTTTTCAAGACCCTGTCTTCACTTCTTTTGGATATAGACCCAGAAGTGGGACTGCTGGGGCAAATGGTAATTTGTTTTTAATGTTTTGAGGAGCCTCCGTGCTGTTGTCCATAGTGGCTGCGCCAGCTTGCACTCCTCCTGCTAGCACGTGTCAGCCCACGTTCTCCTCATTCTGTGTCTTTGACAGTTGACCTCCTGGCAGGTGTGTGCGGTGTTGTTTTCGCCTGAGTCTCTCCTCTCCTGTGTGTGGAGGGCTCAGCCTGCCCTGCTTGTCTGTTTCAGGACCATGGGAACTCTTTCACGTACACGGGCAGTGGTGGTCGAGATCTTTCTGGCAACAAGCGGACTGCGGAACAGTCTTGTGACCAGAAGCTCACCAACACCAACAGGTTTGCCAAAGCAGGTTTTCTTCTTTCTTCACCAGCGGGCTTCTGCCTCGTCCTATGGCAGCTACATGGGGAGGGGGTTGGTTCTTTTTTGGGGTGTACGTTCAGGAAGTTAGATTCCCGTTAGGAGTGTGATGGAAAGTAGAGATGACGAACATCCGTTTCTTCCCTTCTGTTTGCTAAAGACTTGTGAGTCGTTCAGATGTGTTAAAGAAAACTTCTCTGAAAGGCCAGATAATATTTTTGGCTTTAGGGACCGCGTGGCCTTTGTTGTAAGCACTCAACTCTGCTAGCATAGCATAAAAGCAGCCTTAGAGCCCACATAAATGAATGAGCATGGCTGTGTTCCAATAAAACTTTGTTTACAAAACCAAGCAGTGGGCCAGAGATTGCTGACCCCAAACCACAGGATGGGGAAGGAGTTTGTAAGCACAAAAAGCATCATAAAGCCAAAGGGAAAAGATAGAGATTTGATAACCTAAATATTATATCAATAGAACCCATATGTAAAATGAACAGGCGAATGATTATTTGGGGGATGAGTCTGCTACAAACATGACCTATGATAGTTATGTTCTTCTGTATAAAGAGCTTTGCAAATCAATAAGAAAAACTAATCGAGAAAAGCAAAGGACATACAGGTCATACAGGTCATTCACAAGAACAATGCAGATCTCTAGTGACCAGGAAAACTTGAGTTAAACTCTGGTCATCAAAGAAATACAAATTGAAGCAATGGTGAGATACTGTTTATTTCCCCTATAAGATCGGCCACAAATTCCAAAATGTTGAGAAATGCCAAGATGCAGGCTAGTGTCCCACTGTTGGTAGAAATACAGACGGGTGCCGTCTTTCCGGAAAGCTCTTTACCTCTATGTGTGAAGAGCCTTCAAAACGTTCTTACCCGTGATCCCGTGAATCGACTTTCAGAATGTGTTCGGGAGATATGGGGGCATGAAAATTCTATACGTGGTGGTATTCTATCATTATCTAAAATGGCAAGAGTAACTAAACACGAAATAGAAAGGGGCAGGGAGCTCACATTAGTGTACGGTTATTTGTCTAGTGGCATATTTTAATTTCGGTAGCTGTTAAAAGCCCACGGTCGAGAAGCACTGGCTGATGAGAGGACTGCCCCGAGCTCACATTAGGGGTGCCAGGGGGGCACACAGCTCCGCAGTCGTCCTGAAGGAGGTGCTGAGCCTGAGCCCCGGTCTGCTTGTCCCGGGCCTCTGTGGCCCTCGGTGGGATGGCCCTGCCCAGGTTCGCACACCTCCACCCGGGGTGTGGAACTTATTCTCGCATAATTCTGGAGCCCAGACTCTGAACTTGAGGGCTGGGCAGGGCCGTGCTCCCTCTGAAATCTCCGGAGGGGGATCCTCCCTGCTGCTTCCAGCTTCTGGTGGCCGCTGCTGGTCTCTGGTGTCCTGTGGCTCGTGGACGCGTCCCTCCAGCCTCTGCTTCCTTCACGGGGCCTTCTCCCCGTGTGCCCGTGCCTCCACTACCCAGATAGGGACACCATGCTAGTCCCCCCTGGTCTCCTCTGAACTTGACTCCTGTCTGCGGTCACCCACTTTTCAAAGGTCACAGTCACAGGTTGTAGGGGTGAGAGTGGGACCCTCTCCTCTAGGGGGGGCGGGGGGAGGCGATCCAGCCTACACCTCGTGGGGTCCCGGCTCTGCCCGCAGGGCGCTGGCTCTGAACTGCAGCGCCCCCATCAACGACCGCAAGGGGGCCGAGGCCAAGGACTGGCGGTCCGGGAAGCCGGTGCGGGTGGTGCGGAACGTGAAGGGTCGCAAGCACAGCAAGTACGCGCCCTCCGAGGGCAACCGCTACGATGGCATCTACAAGGTGAGCGGCTGGCCTCGCCCCGCCGGGCCCCCGCTGGCCCCCTCCGGCCCCGCACGGCGCCGACCTCCGCCACGCTTCCCCGCAGGTTGTGAGGTACTGGCCGGAGAAGGGGAAGTCCGGCTTCCTGGTGTGGCGCTATCTCCTGCGGAGGGACGACACTGAACCTGGCCCCTGGACGAAGGAAGGGAAGGACCGGATCAAGAAGCTGGGGCTGACCATGCAGGTGCGTCCGGGCCGCGCCTGGCGCTGCCGGTCCAGGAGCCCAGCTCTGCGCTCCTCGGGCCCGTCCGGCACCTTGTGCTGCACAGCCCGGGCCAGGAGCTGGCCTGCTTTGAGCCTCATCTTCCTGGCCAGTCACGGGATTGTGGGAGCCTGCTTTCTTGGCCAGAAGCCCTCCGGGGTTTCTGTGATCTTAAATGATTTCCAGGCACCGAGCTGGTCGCCCCTTGTTGGCTGTACCATTCAGATTCTTTAGCCAGTAGATCTCGGCGGTGGGCTGCTGGTTGTTCTCTTTGCACTCAGAGTTTGAGGGTGGAGAGCCAGACTTCCTTGTTAGAGTTGTGTTCAGGGAGGAGTTTGTGTGAAATCAGCGTGGAATCTGGGATCTTCCTTTTTGCTAGGCTTCATGCCTCCTCCAAGCACGCACAGGCAAACCCACAAAACCGGTGGGATGTGGGGAGGAATGCTCCCTCAGAGCCCTCGCTCACCTCCTCCCAGCAGCTGTATCTCCCAGAGTTCACCCGGTGCGCGGCGTGCCTTTTCTGCACCATAATTATGGTGTTTCTGTTCATTATGGCGAGTCTCTTTACAGCTGATAACTCAGTGTGGGACTATTTAAGGAATCTTAATTGCTACTGAGAATCAGATAGCGCCTCCCCCAGGGGGTCATGAAGTTGTCTTTTGAACATGATGTTTGCACCATGGAGAATTTCAGAAGCTTGAGGAACTGGGGAGAAAAATAGTCATGGGACAGGATCTACCAGCATCTGGTGGGAGTATTTGTGACTTCGTGTTGCTGAAGACACTTGATGGTTTCTAGATGACACACTGGAAAATCCCACATAATAGGAGGTGCCTCAGAGATGGGGTTATCATCAAATAATGCCTGTTAGACCCCGGGGGAGCCCCAGACTCCTCAAAATTGGGTTGGCGAGCCAAGGCCTCGGGGCCATGTCTTTGTAAAGGAAGTTCTGTCTGGAGGCCCAGCCTTGCCCATCCATTCCCTCCTGGGCCCTGTCCGCTTTTGGGCTGCAGCAGAGCTCTGAGGCTTGGCCCCTCGTGGGAAAGCTTGCCTGCCTCTGAACGAACGAGTAAGGATAATGATTAGACTCTCTTATTGCTAGATCTGATGGTGAGCATTTTCTGTGCATTCCCTTGTTCCCTGGTCGGGCGCAGATGGCGCCCTTTGCCCTTTTATTTCTGGTATGTTTGCTGGGTAGAGGTTTATTTGCCAGCGATCCCCTGGAGGCTGAGTCAGGAGAAGGAGTCCAAGTCTCTGGAGGCGACAGTGGGGACTGGGGAGAGACTGTCAACGAGGTGAGGGTAGAGGGAGGGGGCAGGAAGGGCGCCCGGACCCCCCGTTGCTCCTTACGGCCAATTCCACTCTCCTGCAGTACCCGGAAGGCTACCTGGAGGCCCGGGCCAGGAAGGAGAAGGAGAAGGAGAACAGCAAGAGGGAGGCCGAGGAGCAGGAGATGGAAGAGGAGGGGGCCTTCACGTCCCCCAGGAAGGGCAAGCGCAAGAGCAAGTCCGCGGGTGCGTGTCTCTGCGGGCAGCCTCCCCGTGAGCATGTCCGGCCGCCTGCCCTCACCCCCTCTGCTCTGTCCCCGTAGGTGGCAAGGCTGGCATTGGGTCCCCGGGAGGGACACCTAAGAAGAGCAAGGTAGAGCCTTACAGCCTCACGGCCCAACAGAGCAGCCTCATCAAGGAGGATCAGAGCAACACTAAGCTGTGGAGCGAGATCCTGAAGTCGCTCAAAGATGGGCCGGTGAGTGCCCACCGCCCCCACCCCTACCCGGCCTGGGTGGCCTCTCCCCTCATCTTTGTTTATGTGGTGATGTAGAAATAATTCTGTGTCGTAACCGTCTCTACGTGCACAGCTCAGCGGCATGAAGCACACCCACCCTGTTCTGCAACCACTCCGCCGTCTTCAGAACTTTCTCATCTCCCCAAACTGAGGCTCTGTCCCCGTGAAGCATGGACTTCCCACCCCCCTACCCCAGCCCCGGCTCCCACCCTCTCCTCTCTGTCTGTGTGGACGGGACTCCTCTGGGGACCCTCCTGGGAGTGGGGTCCTCCTGCGGGATGTGTCCTTCTGGGTCTGGCTCCTCTCACTGAGCCCGCTGTCCTCGGGGCCCGTTCACGTCGTGGCAGGTGTCAGGGCCCCTTCCTTTCTAATGCCGAGTAATATTCCAGCGCGTGGGTGGACCGCACCGGGTTTATCCGTGCACCTGTGGGGGGGCGCGGGCTGGCTTGCAGCTCCGCTGTGACCATCGCGGCTCTGCCTCTCCTGGGCACGGTCCCAGGCATGGGACTGCTGGCTCATAAGGTCCGTCTGTGCTCAGCTCTCTGCGGACTGGCTAAACCAGGCCTGTCTTTTTTCGATCCTCCTGCCCTGAGCAGGATGAGTGACCTAGATGGGTCACCGCCTGCTTGGTGTCCTCTGGCCACTGCCCGGACCTCGTGGGAACGGGCTCTCTCTGCCTTCCCCTGGACAGGCCCCTTGGAGTCTGCCTGTTACTCTGACGCCCTCTCCCGGGCTCTTGGTCCTGGTCATCTTGTCTCGGGGCCTTGGCCCGCGTGGTCTCCTCGGCCTCGAGTACCCTCCCCCACAGTGCTCCTGCATGGGTCCCCGGCGGCCCTTGGGGTGAATGACCACAGATCTGGTGGCTCCAAACAACACCGATTTCTTCTCTCAAAGTTCTGGAGGGCAGAGGCCAAAAATGAATCTTTCATGGCTCAGGGCAGGTGTGGGCAGGGCCGGTTCCTTCCAGAGGCTCCTAGGCTTCCCGGTTTCTGGAGGTGCTGTGTCACTGGCCCCGGCACACCCTTGCAGACTGTGCCTCAGTGGTCACACGGGCCTCTCTGAGGGCCAGGCCTCCCTCTGTCCCTCTCACATGGTGGGCTCCCTGGGTTACTTAGGATATTGTCCCATCTCAGGGCCCTTAATCCCATCTGTGTGAAGTCCGTTGAGCCACGTAAGGTGACATGTACAAGTCCCGGGATTCAGAGGTGGCACCTTGGGGGCCATGACCTAGCCAGCCGCGTGTCCTCCAGGTCACCTCCTCCACGGAGCGCTGCCTGACCGCCGGCATTCCAGGGACCCCCTCTCCCCCCGGCTCCCTGCTGTCTCCCCCCCCCAACACAAGCACTGCCGAGATGTTTCTGTCCCCACCTGTCTCGTCTTCGGTCTCCCCTGCTGGCCTCCATGCTCCAGGTGGGCCGGGTTTCTTCTGTTTTACCCGCCGATGGGCCCCCACGCCCAGGCCTCATGTGTACTGAGGGAAGAGCCGCTGATAAGCTCACTCTTGACTCTGAGCCGGGTGTGCTCTGGGCCGCGGGTGCCCCTCGGCTTGACTCTGGGCATGGCCCGCCTCTCTGGGCTTCTGTTTTCTTGTCCTCACGTGGGGCAAGAGCTGCCTCCGGCCCCCAGGTGGGGGCGCCGGTTCCGACCCTGTCGGAGGAGGTCTGGTCCACTCTCACGCGCTCTCCTGCAGTTCCAGAAGTTCCTGAGTAAGGTGGAGGAGGCGTTCCAGTGCATCTGCTGCCAGGAGCTGGTGTTTCGCCCCATCACGACTGTGTGCCAGCATAATGTGTGCAAGGTGAGAAAGGCGGCTGTGGGCCGGGTGCGGGGGTTGCTAAGCGGACACTGTCCTCCCCCTCCCATGCCCTCGCCATGCTGCAGAGTAAAACGCAGTACCTGGGCCACCCTGCCCACCTCCCTGTGACTTTAAGGCACACTGGCCCTCCGCCTGTCCCTCCAGCAGGCCATAGCCTACCTGCTTTAGGAGTATTCTCTGGTTCTCCCTCCCCTGGAATGTTCTCCCCCAGCCTCCTAGGTGGCTGGGGGTCCAGGGCAGGAGAGGATGGGTGGCAGTCTCAGCCTGACGTCTGGTTATAATAAATGTTGATTGAGCATGCTGTGGACTGGGACGGAGAGGTGTGAGGTGCTTGGCTCCTAGAGGAGCAGGAGGGAGGGCTTCCTAGCGGAGGTGACAGCTCAGGTGGGCAGAATGGTGTTTGCAGAAGCCTGGACAGGCAGGCAGGGCGGAGCAGCTGGGGCCTGTAGGGGACGAGGGCTGGGAGGTGGGCATGGAGAGTGGTCAATCAGGAGGGCTGGACTGGAAGAGAGACTGGGGGTGGCGACGTGGGGTGGCGACGGTGTTCCTCTGCAGCTGTGCTGACGCTGGGGTGGGTCCGTCTCTGCGGGCAGTGACCCCTCCATGCCAGGATCACCCCCAGTCGTGATAGCTGCAGAGGTTCCCGACACCACCCCGCGTCCCCTGGAGGCAGAATTGCGCAGGTGGGCGCTGCTGGTGAGCAGGAACGGCTGTTTTGCGGTGTCCTCTAGTTAGAGTTGCTCAGTAGGAACTTATGGGCAGTGCAGGCAGGCAGTTGTGGTGGAAGGGACTGTCCCTGCCTCCCAGCCACCCTTGCTCTCTGAGCTGCTGGCCCCCTTTCTTGCCTTGGGGTCATCTCGGTTCAGGCTCCTGTGTTAGCTGTCCCACCAGGGGAGGGACTCCGAGACCCATCAGGCAGTGTGGCAGGTCAGGCCCTTCCCTTTTCTGTCCTCGGGCCCTGCCACCCTGCCACGCGGCCCGCTAAGTCCCCTTGGCAGTGTGGCCCAGGAGAGAAGCCCTGCGCGCCCCAAGCAGAGGCTCAGCCCCTCCCGGTTGTGTGGCCTTGGAAAGCCCTCTGAGCCCCCGTTGCCTTGGTGCAGAGGAAGGGGGCGACACCCTCCCGGCCAGCTTCTGGGCCAGCACGCAGGCAGAGACGGGACAGACGGCGGGGCCGGCGGGTCAGGCCTTAGAGCTGCGGCGGGTTGTGGGGAGGCCGCTTTGGAGCGTCTCAGCAGAGCTAGTGCGGGTGCCGGGGAAGGGCCTGTGCGTTTGGTCTGTCGCTGGTCGCTGCTAGAACCGCAGCCTCTGAGCCGTCCTAGGAAAATGGCTTTGGCCTACCTATCCCAGCACCTGACTTTGTTTTCGCTCTATTAAAAAACTTATTGTAGTGAAATACCCACAAAGTGAAAATTGCCATTGTAACCATCTCTAGGTGCACAGCTCAGGGGCACGAAGCCCACTCACACTGTCCTGCAGCCACCCCACCCTCCGTCTCCAGAACTTTCCGTCTCCCCACACGGAGACTCTGTCCCCATGAAGCACGGACTCCCCATCCCCTGCCCCAGCCCTGGCTCCCACCCTCTCCTCTGTCTCTGTGGACGGGACCCCTCTGGGGACCTCCTGGGAGTGGGGTCCTGTGGGATGTGTCCTTCTGGGTGTGGCTCCTCTCACAGAGCGTGGTGTCCTCGGGGTCTCTCCATGTCATGGCAGGTGTCAGGATGTACTCCCTCCCCACCTTTTTTTTAAGTAGGCTGCATTCCCAATGTGGAGCCCAATATTGGGCTTGAACTCACAATCCTGAGATCAAGACCTGAGCTAAGACCAAGAGTCTGACGCTTAACCGACTGAGCCATCCAGGCGCCCCTTCCCTTTCTTTTTAAGGCTGAATAACATTCCAGTGCGCGGATGGACACTTGGGGTGTTGTGAATAATGCAGCAGTCCAGAACCTGATTTTTGAACGTGGACCTGAATCTTAGTTGTGTTGAGCAGAAAGAACTGCCTTTGGTCTCTGGAATCAAGGCTGGAGATGATTGAAAAAGGAATGAGGAGTTTTCCAAATGGGAGCAGAAGCCACAGCCCGTGTCCAGGGGCTGGATATGCGGTGGCATCAGCAGGCTTTCTACCTTGTTGACCTTTCCCCCCTCACCCGCTTGCCTGACGCCATCCTTCGGGTGTGTGCGCCTGCGCGGGTGCTCGTGCACGTGCATGCCCTGTGTCTGCGGGTGGCGTCTTCCCTGTTTCTGTGAGTGGGAAGCTGGCTGTCCAGGGCTTGTCTGCCTCTTAGCTCTGTTCCCGCCTGGCTTGCTTCTCCAGCTCTCATGTGGTGCAGAATGGTGTATGAACCCAGAAGGCAGGCGAGAGATCCTGCCTTCCTTCCGTCCTTTCTTCTCAGCACGTATTTGTTGAACATGTGTGTGTCAGGGTCCTGTGCTCGGTGCTGGCCAGGTCGGTAAGACCTCTTCGAGTGGCAGGCAGTGTCTGGCCTGCTTCATACAAGGACGTTAGTACAAGGTGATTCCAGAAGGTGGAAGGTGCTGTTTTAAGACAAGTAGGGTGAGGGCTGCTTCTGATATTCTGGGGTCATCAGGGAAGGGTCCTCTGAGGAAGTGACTTGAGCCGAGGCATGAGTGATAGGAGAGCCAGAGGACAAACCTGTTAGGTGGCACGAGCTACAAGTGCCAAGGCCTAGAGGCCAGGATGGGCTTGGAGCCTTTGAGGAGCCCCAGGGAGGCCAGCCTAGAGGTAGAAAGTGAGACCGACGGTCAGAGAAGGCCTCTGGACCCTGTGAGAAGTTGGTGATTGTTGCTCACCCCATGCTGGGGGGATGCGGGGTTGGTGGTCATTGCTCACCCCATGCTGGGGGGACGCGGGGTTGGTGGTCATTGCTCGCCCTGCGCCTGGGGGGATGGGGTGGGGGGGTCAGTGGTCGTTGCTCGCCCCGCGCCCGGGGGACGTGGGTGGCTGGCTGGGACAGTGCTTCTCACTCAGCCCTCTCTTGCAGGACTGCCTGGACAGATCCTTCAGGGCCCAGGTGTTCAGCTGCCCGGCCTGCCGCTACGACCTGGGCCGGAGCTATGCCATGCAGGTGAACCAGCCACTGCAGGCCATCCTCAACCAGCTCTTCCCCGGCTACGGCAGCGGGCGGTGATCCTCAAGCACTTCTCGCCGGCAGTTTTTAAAAAACATGTCACAGGGGTCTCTGCCCCCTCTTTTGTTTTTAGTGGGTTTAACTTAAACATGTAGTTTTTCCTGCACTCCCTAAAAAGCCTTGTCTTCCTGGTTTTGTTTTGTTTTTTTTTAACCTATAAATTTTCAGGAGTTTGTATTATGCTCAAAGAAAGAAAGTTGGACTTCTCTGTGTTTTTATTTTGGTTTTAAAAAAATACCAAGCCTGCAGTTTTATCAGCAAAAGACAAACAAAAAATTTTTTCTGAAGATGGAATTAAAAACGCCTTGGCGCGAAGGCTGCTTGTGTTCCCAGCGCCAAGTTCCCAGAAGTTCCCGCTGCCGCCGAGCAAGAAGGCGCCCGGCTGCCCGGAACCATCTCTTCAGGGTGTGTGGCTTGGGCCCCCGAAGTTGAAAGCGAGCACATCTCCCTGACGGCGTTTTGCTGCCTAAAAGCCAGCAAGGTGGTGCCTGGCCCTGCTGTCGCCCGCCGGGAAGGTGGCGAGAAGTCCCGGCCGGCTGGTTCAAACGCCTGTCCCGAAGCCATGCCCCCCAGTCCGCTCTCGTGTTGCAGCTACGCACGCAGAGCCCTCCGCCCGGGTGCGTGGGGGGCCGCCGCCGCCACCGGACTGCTCTGCGCGGGGCTGGGCGTGCGGCCAAGGGCCGGCCCGCCTGCCGCACCATGGAAGCACACGTTCGAAGCCATGTTCAAGTGCCTTGGGGTCTTTCTTTTGTTGTAAACACGAGGCTCTCTCTTAGCACTGAATTGTTGAAAACGCCAGCCAGATTCTAAAACTGGGGCTAGCCAGTTCTTCCTGATACTGGGTGAGTGTTTGGGGGTGATTTCATTTCTGTGGATCCTTTCAATTGAATTGTCAGCTCACCAACTGAGAATTTTAAGAGGGGAATTTTTTTTGTTTTAAGTACTTTTTTGAATGAAATTTTTTGTAGTTATTGTATATGTACCAAGAAAGCTATAACTTAGGGTTTGGTTGTGTTTTTGTTTTTGTTTTTTTGTTTTTTCCTTTTTGGTTTTGTATTTTTTTTGGAATGATTTGTTGATTTTTTTTTTCTAACTTTACCAAAGTTTGCAGCTTTTACCTCAATAGAACAGGAATATTTTGAATCCCATAACTGCAGACAAACTGGAGCGATACTGTTTTAAAAGTTTTTCTTTTCTCCTTACTAGGTTTGTTAATGTATTAGGAAGAAACAACAAAATCCTGTGTAGGCTTTTTCTAAAAAGTTCAGTATTCTTTGTCCAGATTTTAGATTCTCAGAATAAATGCCTTTTACAGATGCATCGGGTTGTGTCTTCTGTTTGCGAGGTGTTTTGTGGTCCACCAGCCGGGCACCTCTGTTCCTCTTCTCCAAAGCCTGGGGACACCGACCTGGCGGGCGGCACCAGTCCTGCTTGGAGGACAGGACAGGTTGAAGACAGAGTGATGGGCCGTGGCCCTAAGTGTCACTTGGGAGGCACCAGGCTTTGACCTTTGCAGGATCCACAAACCCGAGCCAAGGGGCCAAATCCAGCCTTCCATCTTGGACGGGGGTCACTTAATGCTCGTCAAGGTGAGTGGCGCTGTTCCCCATTTATATTTGAGGAAACAGACAACCATGATCTCCATTAGGAGATGGGCCTGAATCAGCAACCAAGAGTCACGTGATCCCAGAGAGCTCTCTGCAGGCCAGGGGATGTTTGGGCACCAAGGGGGTGAGGGTCCCGACGACCTGAAATGCTGGCTCCGCAGAGGTCAGAGGCCAAGTAGGAGGCAGGTTTAATGGTCGACTCCAGGGAAGGGAGTAGCTACGCTCTGCAGAGGCCATTATTCACATCGACCTATTGCCTGCACCTTTTATTGATGGTTAAATAATTATGTGGGCAGATCTGACTTGATAACCAGGAAAAAGTTCTGTCTCTCTGGGTCCTTTCAAATGTGTCAAGTGTGCCGTTGAAAGCATGGGGTGGGGGGGTGGGCTGCTTCGTGGGGTGGACAAGAATGTTCTAGGTCTGCTGATGGCTGCACACATACGGGGATGTACCGAAATGCTTTTGAGTTGTACACTTCTTGAATGGGTCAGTTGTACGGTAGATGAATTATGTCTCAAAGAAATGTCAAGTGTGAACGTGAAATAAAAACAGGAATGATGCCCAGCCACGAGGAGCAGAGGAAATGCCACGAACGTCCCCAGGCGGGCCCTACCCTGGGAACGGAACACACAGGGGTGGGTTCCTTGTTGAGATTGTGGGTTTTTTGGATGTTTCTCTCATTTGGAAAGTCAAGAACAATGTCATTGTTAAAAATTAGCAAAACTCAGAAAAGTGTACCTGGAATTGCTATGCAAAAAAATCACAGTATTAGGCATGTTTGTTTCCTGGTAGGGTTGGGTTGGGTTTGGTTTTTATTGTTCTATAACAGCTTTATTGAAATACACTTCACATTGCCCTAAAGTTCACCCATTTAAAGCGTACAGTTAACTGGTTTTTAGTACGTTCAGAGTTGAGCAACCATCACCTCTAGTTCTAGAACATTCTCATTGCCCTAGAAAGAAATCCCGTCACCATCAGCAGTCCTCCCCCACCTGTCCCCCCAGCCCCCGCACCTTCAAGCCCCCTTCCTGTCCATGGATGAGCCTGTTCTGGACATTTCACGCACGTGGAATCACACACTGTGTGGCCTTCCGTGTCTGGTTCCCTCCCTGAGCTTGTCCATGTTTTACTCCTTTTAAAGGCTGAACAATATTCCATTTTATGGATTAACCACCTTTTTATTTATTTCTTTTAAAGATTTTTATTTATTTGAGAGAGAGAGCAGGAGCAGAGCAGGGAGGAGCAGGTGGAGAGGGAGAAGCAGACTCCCTTGCTGAGCAGGGAGCCCAACGTGGGGCTGGATCCCAGGGTCCTGGGATCATGACCCGAGCCGAAGGCAGACGTGCAGCCGACTGAGCCACCCAGGCACCCCTGGATTAACCACCTTTTTAAATCCACCCAGTTGACTTTTTTTTTTTTAAGATTTTATTTATTTATTAGAGAGAGAGAGAGAGAGCACAAGCAGGGGGAGCGGCAGGCAGAGGGAGAAGCAGGCTTCCCGCGTGAGCAGGGAGCCCGATGCAGGGCTCGATCCCAGGGCTCTGGAATCATGACCTGAGCCGAAGGCAGCGGTTTAACCAACTGAGCCACCCAGGCGCCCCGACCCAGTTGACTTTTGAACGTAAAGTGTGTTCCTTCTTTTCCTCCACTCCAGGTTATAAAATTGGTTCACATCCTCAGGCTTTATTTACACCTGTTGTGCGCCTGTATGTATGGGTACCACGGTGTTCGACCTCAACAGAGCCCTCCAATATAGTTTTGACTCCTAGCCATTTTGCAGTTGAGACACAGGGAGGTTAAGTGGCTTACCCAAAGACGTGGCAAAGCCAGGGCCCATACGTAGGTGTATACAAATTTAAACACAAAGTGAGGACAGTGCCATATATACTGCCTTATCACAGTTTTCTATTCATTTCAGTTCATGTTATAAGTGACCACCTTGTCTAGCACCTTAGTAAACAAACGTGAGCTGTGGTCTGGTGTGTGCATATTTGTGTTTGTGTTCAAAAATGGGAAACCTACTATATGTAAGTCTAGTGATGCATACTTTTTTTTAAAAAAAGATTTTATTTATTCATTTGAGAGAGAGAGAACAAGCAGGGGGAGAGGCAGAGGGAGAAGCAGACTCCCTGCTGAGCAAGGAGCCCGATGCGGGACTCGATCCCAGGACCCTGGGATCATGACCTGAGCTGAAGGCAGACGCTTAACCATCTGAGCCACCCAGGCGCCCTAGTGATGCACACTTGAAGCGAAATGGAATGTCAGAATTCCTCCTCCTGGGGAAGCCGGGGGGCTCAGTTGGTTGAGCGAGACTCTTGGTTTTGGCTCAGGTCATGATCTCAGGGTCGTGAGAGTGAGCCCCGCGTTGGGCTCGGCGTGAAGTCTGCTTGAGAGATTGTCTCTCCCCCTCTGCCCCTCCTGCCACATTCATTCTCCCCCCCGCAATAAACCAATAAATAAAATCTTAAAACAAAGTGAGCCGGCCCTGGGCTGCTCGAGGCTTGTTCAGGGAGAGGTACAGCAAGGCTCCCAGTCCCAGGCTTTCATGAGATTCGCACCTGTCTGCAAAGACCTAAAGAAAACCCAGGTGATTTCTCCCCCGGAGAATTTGTCCATTTGAGAATTCTGTGCCCTTCCTACTTTGCATAGGACCTTTTTTTTTTTTAATTAAATGGCAGCTCTTGTACTTTTTTTCCCTAACAATCTTATTATGAAAACTTTCAAACAGAAAAGTTGAATTGTATGGTGAACCCTCAAATACACCCTTTGTCTGGATTCTTATTGTACAATTGTTAATGTTCAATTTTTACATAATAGATGGCATTAAAAAAAAATCTCCCCAGACAAAATAAGTTGACAACCTATTTAGGTGCTCCAATTAAAAATTTTTTTTTATTTTTTGAGTCTGTGTCATCCAAATACCTGGAACTCACTGTGTTACAGGAGAACAGAAGGCCTGTGTGTATTTTTTGGGGTGGGGGAACCTCCATTGTTGCACTTTGGATACTGTGTTACCAAAATCAAATGCCATTTGTCTCTCCCACAGCTTAGGGAGTTCCTTGGGGGCAGATGTTCTTTCCCATTTTTAAAGTTTAATTTTAACTACATGAGGAGTCTGTGAATATGGTCCCACGAGAAGGGACAATCTCCCTGAACAGATTCAAGTCCCCACAGACTACCCTTTCTTTTTTTTCTTTTTAAAGATTTTATTTATTTACTTGACAGAGAAGGAAGGAGTGGGAGAGGGAGAAGCAGGCTCCCCACTGAGCAGGGAGCCCGATGCGGGGCTTGATCCCAGGACTCTGGGATCATGACCCGAGCCGAAGGCAGGCGCTTAATGACTGAACCGCCAGGCGCCCCAGACTACCCTTTCTACCCACGTGGATCTCTCC